TTTATTCCTATCATATCTTATTGCAGGGGCTGCTGGTGCTGCAGGGCTCTCAAACAATTAAGAACTTACAGAAAATAAAAATCATAATATTCTAACTATAATATTTTCTTTTGTCAACAATAAAATTCATAATATTTCGCATTCGTATCGTCATAATGATATAAAAAAATGCAATGCTGCCAAGGAAATGCCGCCGAGCGAGTAGGTAAAATCGACCAGTGGAATAACGAACCTGTAATCCCCCTGTGCTCTCAGTACACCTCGACCACCTCAGTGGTCTAAAGCAAAGCCGTGATTGAAATAGGAGAGAGAGAGTTGAAGAAAAAAGAGTTTTGTGGTTTACTGGTTTTCGGCGCTGCGTGTTGAACGCAAAAACAATAATTACAGAGCGTGTGTGCTTCTTTCCGTTTTTGTGGATTTCTGACAATTACGCCATTACCAGATTTTACCATTGACAAAGCTGGTGTAAGTAGAGGAAATTTAGTAAACACATTTACTCAGAAAATGAATGGATTTGAGGATGTAAAAAATGTTATATATTATTTTCCCTGCTTTTTGGTGGCGATAAAACTTGGACGGAACTAAGGGTCAGAGAACATTTAAGTTTGGAAATAAAAAGACATGGAAAAAAGTCACATTCATGATTGTACGGAATTTATTGCGAAACATAATGAAAATGTTTCGGAGAATAGATAGATTTTATGAAAAATTATTAATTGTAGGGAATTTTGCGGAGCTTCCGACAATCCCAGGATATTTTGTGGAATTATTAATTTTTCGGCTGACTTACATACAACTCTAAGTAAGCACCTAAAAAGGGCACTTCCAAAGGAATTTAGAATGATTTGTTGCAGTGCATGCATGTGTAAGTTTTTTGCAGGGATTGCAGAACACCTTCAAATTTTGCCTACGTGCCGCCGCTGTCTTGTTTACTATTGTTCACATTCAGTGTTAACAATATCCCGAGAATATCCTTTATCGAAGATATTGTCGTTTTTGTAAGTAGGCCGGTTTCTTTTAAAACTTCTTATGAAATTCATCCTTTACTTCTTAAATTCATATACATTTTTCACAATTTGTTTCACATCTAATGACAAGTAAATTCGACGCGACGTAACAGAAAAATTAATGATATACTTGAAAGAAACTTTTCGAAACGTACAGGTTACTCAACACTACAGCTGATATAAGCAAACACGTGGTCGACATCTACTTGAATGGTTTCTGTTACGTCCCTTACCTATGAAGAACTTATTTGTTGTAACAATAATTATGAAGGTCGTAATTACTTTTTGGTCTTCCGGAAGTCAAGGCTTTGAGATGCACTATTCCCTATATAATACAAAAATATCGATAAATACTTTTATATTAATATCAGAACTCAGAATAGTGGGGTGGGTGATGAAACTTCTCGGAAATCGTTTTACGTCGTCGACATTCAAAGAAATATGGACGTGTGAGCTATAATTTAAGAATTAATAGATAACCTTATCTGAAATTCCTATCAGAAGAAAAATCTGGTGTTATTAAAATATTGAAAAAACACTCGTTAATATTAATATACTTCGCGATAAACGGAGATTAGATTAGCTCACGTCATCTGTATATTCAGATTAAAGTTAGGCTTCGTGGCAAATTGGATTTAAACGGGCCTTAATGTTTTAGGTGGGATAAAAAGTTCATTATGTTGCCGTTCGATCGGCGACGCTTGAAAAATTGTACGTTTTAATTTTGTATTTGCTGAAAGAAATGTTAGTCATTAGTTGTGTTAAGTGGAAACATTCTAAGAGACTCCCACCACTCTTCTTTTAATAATAATAAATGGTTTTCGTGGAAACCAAGGAAGAAAAACATTTTCAAAACACAGTGGAGTTTAACAAATTATATTTTTCTGATGGAGACAACAAATAAAAAAGAGAGTTGTAGGTAAATTCAGTTAGCAAATATCGGAACCGTATTCACCAGCGCCGAGGTTTATGGGGAAAAGTGATAAAAATGCAACGCTTCCTAATTTACATCGTTCTATTTAAAAAATAATAGGAACTCATCAAATAGGAACTACATCCCTACATCCGTGTCGCAATTTTTAAAACCATTTTCTTAAATGGAAAATAAATTTGTCGCTCGCATTTCAGTTGGTATTACTATTCTACTTCAAGAAAAGTGAAGTTGCCAGATCGATTTGTTGACATTCTTGATTGCAAGAGGAAACTGTTAACTCTGAAATGTAGAAAAATTACAATACACATGTAGAGGCATAACTGGCGAGTGGTATCACAGGGAGTAATGGACAGCGAAGAAGATCCTTCCACTTATTATTAATCTTGACGAAGAATTTAGTGGTTATAGTATAATATAATATTTGTAGTATAATATTTAATTATTAATATTTTGAGGTACTAGAATATTACTTTTTACCGTTTCTTTTACTATAATTGACAAATGAGCAAAAGAAATAGAGTTGGAAATATCTTTAAAATCAAGGTTTGACACATTGTTTATAATGTAAGTAACAAGTGTTTACAATACAAACAATAGTTTGGTTTAAAGTAAAATAAGTAAATGACGACAATATTTTGCCAGTCGAGCTTGATGGCCTGACTAAATGTTTATTTGGTATGAACCAAAGAGTATAAGACAGGAACGCGCGGGACGTACGGTTCAATTCAATTTAAAGTTTGAAAGGTAAAATGTAAAAAAAAAATTACGTCGAAATAATTTTCATTTTTTTTTTTATTAAACTATAAATAAAGTGCTGTTATCCGTTACAAGCTACTGTAGTATTTTCAGAGTGACGCATTACTTTAAACCAGCAGAACAGTACTCTAGTACTTGGACACAAATATTAGATGGCATTCGTAACAGTATACGCAACCTTCCCCTATATCTTATACTCTTTGGTATGAGCTATATAAATCAGGAAACAGCGAAACTTTTATTAGTAATCGGTTTCCATTAGTTACCATAATTGAAAAATTAATATCAAATTAAGATGGATTTCAACAATCAAGTTTTTCATCAAGTACCAACCATAATGAATAATTTTAAGCCAAATCCGAATCATAGAAAAATAAATTTTAAAAATAATTAAAACCTTCCAGACATTTTATTTAACTACATACAATAACCTCAGTTTCTGTTTATTTTCTTTATGGCGCATTTTTCCTTAATATAGGCACACACAGTATAGACCGGGGTATAGACATTGTATGAAGATCAAAATAACAGTGAATATATTGGGGATTTTAATTTAAAATTGGACAGTTTTCGATAGTCTGTGTCCATCACTTCAATCATTCAACGTCCTAAGTCTTGAAGTATCTCAGCTAGTTCGTATAGATCAAGCAAATTGCAATTTCTCTGATCACTATTATCCCGAAACACTGAGGTATACACTGAATACGTTAGAAGCTACTTCATAAAACTAACCATATTGATTTTTTGTAACCGAACGAGTTGTGATCGATAGCGCATTAGAAAAGAATTGGACGAAGCTTATACCCAAGATGTGTGGAAGTGATCTAAATTATAGAAAATATTTTTGTAATTTTTTTTTCTGTAGAAAATTCGGTGGTATGCACATTGAGCTCGAGTGAGCTAGTTTACTTATTTGAAACCATTGAATCTAACTTTACTACGAAGTGGAAATTATGTTGTTTGATGGCTGGTGAATTCTTAATTATTTTTGTTCGCATTTCCTATTCGGCCAGTTATATAGCAACCACGGACCAAAGAAGACAAATTTTAACGTTAACGACACACTTAACGAAAACACAAGAAGAAATTCGGCATAAAATAAAAGCTGCAAACACAAAACATAAGCAATTACCGTACGAACATTGCCCGTCATTTGCATGAAACGGACATTAGTACGGACTCATTTAGTTATTTGGAATAAAAGATTATCTTATAATCTTAATTATTTCTACATGGAAATGGATTTAATTAAAAAATCTAGTATACCACGAGAAGTATTTAAATTAACTACAATTGCGAAATACCTACTTTGAGTTATAAATATTTACGGCGCGTATTTTACATAAAAGAAACATTAAGCAGTCGGATAGCTGTGGCTTTATGTAATACTCGAAATCAAAAATGCTGCACGAAAAAAAAACACGGTTATAATCTTTTGGAAGCTGCTTAAGAATTTTCGTTTGTGGAATTTGGTGGGTCTCGGTTAGATGGTCACGACGAGATTTAATTAATTGCTAATTAATTTTTTGTTTTTTTTTTTCATATAATTTCGTATCAGCCATTTTATAATAACCGATGTTGGTGATAGTATTGCATTGAAAATTTATATTAGTCTAACGTTTTTTTCTATTCTTTTAATATGTGTGCGTGACAGGCTCTCGTTTTTTCTTAGACGGTTTTAATTTGTGAACTCAAACGTGTTTTCTGCAAATGCGTCGCCACAGACATGAAAAAACCATAATGTGATTCTTAAACTATCCAAAACAACTACAAAAAAATAAGCAAGGCTAGATCTGACATTTCCTAGAATTGTTTGTCTCGGGACAAAGATGAAACATTGTGAATTCTATGTTACCAAATTTCTTTCATTCTTAATTGCAAAAATTTACGCGGGAAAAATATCACGTCAAAAAGTCTAGCTATAGGAATTTGTTCCTTTTATTTTCTTGTTCTGGTGATTTTTATTTATAATCTAGGAACAAAGTTTAATTTAAGTTTAGAGTTACTAAAACATCATATATGGTCTGTGCCGATTAGGCTAAAACTGTACACACAAGCTCGGTAGGAATGGTACTTTAGGATGTCACTCCAAAAGTGAACCTAGAGGCGCTACCCCTTGGTCAAGCCGGAAACTTTTCACCCCACGCTCGTATGCGCCTGAAGGAGATACCTTGTAACCAAATACACAATGGAACGGAACGGAATGGCCAAATATTTTTAAACGTATTTTCTCGCTTATTTTATACCGAAATAACGTGGGACATCGATTTCGAAAATAACGTCATCTCGTTCTTTTATTTTAGTACGACGATGGCATCCACCCGGGCTACATGGACAGCGGCGCCGCGGGCGGTATGTACGAGCCCCATGTGGCGCATCGGCCCAGCATCCCGGGTCTGCACCATTCGCCGCACCTGAACCACGCCATGCATCCGTACCACGCAAACCATGTGAACCCGACGGCGAACCATGTTATGGGCGGCGCGGTGCCAGACGTCGGCAAACGCGACAAAGACGCCATCTACGGGTGAGTCGAAATATCTCATATCTAGCAATAATTGGAGTAAAGAAACCTGAAAATCTACCACATCTACGTTGTTTTAGGTTAAATGAATAAATTGAAGGTCCTTTTCGTTTTATGTGTTTAAATTGTTATGAATACAGTGTTTAAAGAAAAAATACCGTTTTATGCTCAATTTTTGTCACATTCTGTGGGAATTTCCGTCAACACTATTAAATCTGTATAAGCCCCATTTTTCATCAGCATTTTGTTTTTTTTTTCACGTCTTTATCTCACTTATTAAATAAAATACTGAATTTAATGTATATATATGTTCTATTCGTCTGGACTGCGTGGACGCCAGTCCAAAGTCTCAATATTCGTCTATTTAAACAATATTGCACTATTTTTGCAGAATGTGGTCTGACATTATAATATCTGGCAAACTTGTTCGTTTCACATTAAATTCCATATTTCATTTAATAATTTAGATAAAGACGTAAATAAAAAAAAAAAACAAAACAGTATGCGGAGAGCAACTGGCTTAGACACCTAATAGTGTTGACGGAAATTCCTACAGAATCTGATAAACACTTTTTTAAAACATCATTTATGAAGATCTAAGCTACAATTCAAAAATATGCAAATCGAACTACAGTTCACTGTGAAGACTATTCATATAAATTCAATTGAAACCAATAAGTAAAAATTGATGACAAATCGCAGAAAGTTTTATATGGAAGAATCATTTTGAGCAAGACGTTGAGACTTGAACGCGAAGAACAACGTCCACCGCTTCAGGACAAGTAAAAATTTGAATCATTTTTTGAGCTATTCAGTGTCCAGGTACCAAAAAATGCCAGATTATGCTTAGTAGGTTACAAAGAAGTTCTTTAGAGTTAATAGCTGGTTAATGAAAATTGTGCAGACCCACGCCAGCGAATTGACTTTAAGATACAAGGCAAACTTGTTACAAACATCACTGCACTGCTAAAATCTCATTATTATCAACTACTAGTGTGTATGTGTGTTTACACCACCAAGCCTTGAGGAAAAATGTTTGTATGGGTCTCCAAGGTTGACGACACCTTATCTAAATAGTCTTGGTTCAATTATTTGCAGCAAAAAGTTAAATTTGAGGTATATTTGTCATTTTTGTTTGCTCTACTTGCGACGGTTCACTGACATTTTTGGAATGCCAAATGAAGAAAATAGTATTACAATTTATGCCATTTAAATGTAAAAACATTAACTGGACCACCGGTTCTAATACTTTTGAAATATAAATGAATATAAATGAACAGATAATTGGAGCAATTTATAATAACAACGACGTCCGGATACTTTTGCCAAACTCGAAAACGTGCCGGCTGATTTGCATATAACGAGATCTGCAATCCGGAATTTTTAAATATTTTTGGCGCATTTGAATATTTCGTTCCGGACAAATAATAGATTAGTTTTTTATATTTAGTTTAGTTTGAGTGGGATAAGGACGATTGTGATGACTTAACATGAGATTATGTAGCATATGGGAAGATTTTGGCGTTGAAAATTGGGTTGGGCCAACTGCTATAAATTGGTCTTTTGATTTTGGACGTCAAACTGTTGAAAACGGGAAAATTGCCAAATTTGTAGACATGACAATTGTTACCCAACTTTCTTGGTGTCACCATATTGACTCTGTGTGAAAACTTCTTTACGTTGAGTTCCTTAAAAGACTCTCTCACTACCAAGAAACTAATAATAAACTACGCATTAGTCTCGCCTTTAGTGTATGCATGGGATCGGAACCATTGCGAGGCCAAAGTATTGATCGTTTCCGAGACCCACTAGATAAAGGTAAATAACTCCGATAAAAACCACAAAGAATTTGGATAAATGTAGTCCTTCCGTTTGTTTATACTTATTTCTTGTCACTGTCTGAAAAGCATGTTTGTACCCCAAATTTATTACAGAAACCCAAAAATCCCAAACCTAAGAGCTTCAGTTTTGATAGTAATAATAGATCATACAATAAAAGTGGTCTTTTTGGTGGTACTTTTGGCTTGACAAATTTCTTTAATCAAGTTATGCTTGAAAATTAAGCTACCTAATGATCTCATCGTAAATTTTGTCTTCGAAGCGGGAATTTGATTTAAAAATCGTTAACATCGAAAAATAATCAACACCTTCGTAGGCCATCTTAACATATAGATTGCTGGAGAAAATTGTTCCATAGCGTGTATATAATGTAAAAAACGGAGCCAAAACCAAAAAAAAATGAAACCAGCTTTTAAGGTTTTGCTAGAGCCCCACAGTTTTGTCGATCACATCATCTTCCGAAAAGCATTAAAAGTCCCCCATTAAACGTCGGCAGTCGCCACAGTGTGCCGTGGCCCCTACTAACCTCTATACACATTTTAATTTTTTTTCTTTCGGTCCGATTAGAATAAAGACCATCTGCAATAACGCCGGCCATAAACAAAGAACCGTCACAATCTCAAAGTGCAAGGAAAACAAGCGAGCGTTTGGCGAACAAGTGTGGCCGCAGTCACGGCTATCTCGATGCTTTGACCCGTAAATTATCCGAGGATGGCACGTCATAAATAAATAGTGTACATTTATGAATGCGGATAGCACTGATAGACACCATTCATGCTGTCGTTTTGTTCGCAACACCCGCGCCGCAGCCGCCGCGCCGAATGGTTTGTTTTCAAACTCTTCTCGGTTTCCATTTCCCGTTGAACTTTAAGTTTAAATCCGGGGCAATTTGTCGCGGTTATTAAACGACTTACGAAATGATAAACTATTTAGCTGGGCGTCAAGTGTCACACAAATCATCCTTATCGCTATTAAATCGAGTTGCAATTCATTATTTATTTGTGCCCGGCGTGTGATCGCCGTAAAATGCGCATGCGCATTTCCTCTGTGACTTATTTTTGTTGACGTGTCAGTTCACACGAATTCACAGTCAAACTCAGGTGTGTTCCGACTGCGCAGGTCGAAATTTCTTTTCTAACTTTCATATCTAGGTTGCTGTAGTGGCTTCTTGGCACCTTCAATTTGACAAGTCAAGTTTTATTAAGCTTATATATATTGAGTGCATGGCTATTGGTCGCTAATACTCAAATTTACCAAGATTTGTCTACCTTTAAGTCTTCATGGTTCCAACCACCACTAATGTTTACTACAAATTTGACAGAGAACTCTATGACGTCATAACGACTTTGCCTCGTAGTTTGGGCTGTCAAATCGCATGCCATGCACTAAGTCTTCTCTAACCATTCTCGATGACATTCAAATGTCTGAATTAACTGTATCGTGCAATAATAATGATAATATCATATAGCAAGAATAAAATAAAAAATGGTAGAAATGCCAAGTTTTTAACGGATCTACGTTCATTATCGATCGTAATGTTCACTGCATAAGCAATTTTTTTAATTTGTAAAGAATGTTTTTTTTTTTATATGTGATACGCTCAGGATACCTTCATTCCAATTTTTTGTCTCGAATTTGCTATCACGACATTCGTCCAGCGACTGACTTTCATATAACTTTATCGGATATCCAGCAGCATCTGAAAAAGTTTCTCTCAACTTATTCTATAGAACTATGTGTTATTTACATATTTATACTTTCGTTAATTACTTTCGAACTATGTTTCTGTTAACATTGCTGTCATTTGTCTGTTACCAAATTTGTATTTTATTACTACATGCTAAGTAAAGTGTACCGAAACGTAACGACTTTGAAAATATATCGAATTAGGATGCAAGTAAAAAAAATGGGTAAAGGCCCATTATAGTTTGTGATAGAAGAAAGAGAAATAAGTCGCGAAGACACTCATAAAGCTGCCAGGCAGCTCCCTAGTGGAGCTATGAGGATGCGGAAGAACCCTTGTCAAATTAATTCCAGAAACATAACGATTTTTTAGTAGTAGCAGGCTATTTAAGTTTTAGTAATAGAATCACTGGGAAGTAACGGTATTTCAAGCCTAAAGTCTACTGAATTCCAAACACAAATAATTAAGCGGTCTCTCGATATCTGGTGAAAGTTATGAACATTTGTTCGAATCTGCTTAAAAATTCTGTCAAATGCAAATCTATTGTCATTATAGTGAAAAAGTCATCAATTTTAATCTCTTAACAAAAAGTAATGTTAAATATTTCCGAATGCAACAATTTCACGTGAATAAGTAAAAAAAAAAGTTTTTTATACTCTTAGCTACTTCCTAACCATAATCCATTTTTGGCTGAAACAGGTAAAATGTAATTGAAGAAACGACCAATTTTTATTTTGGAAACCATTCAATTCGAAAATATTATTGTATACGAATATATTTACAATATAATTATATATTATATATTACTAACCATCTGACCAAGTTTGACAAACTTACTACGACTATCGCGTCGATGACATTTCATTCTTCATCATCGAATAGAAAAAAAACTAATCGAACTCTCAATACGTCGCGAGCTTGAACAAACAAGCCGCTTCAATATCCCGAGACTATTTTATATTCAATAAAGCTCCATTAAAAATTACATCAGCTTTATTTTTAAAACTTTCCTAATATTAGTCGACATCGCCGAGTGTGTGTACACACGCATTTTTCTATATAATAATAACCCACTTGGATCTTAAACGTTCATTGGTTTCTTAAAAAAAAATGTTTATCTCATCATTCGGATGAATTGAAGGTTGTTGGTGCTCGATTTTGATAACTACTAAGTTATTCTCGCTTTTTATGTGGTTAATTATTATTCGAGGCAAGATTCCTAAATGATCTATGTTTCAAGAATAGTAAGTGTTTCTAAGTCGACTTTAAGTTAATCGAAAATTAATAATAAATAATCAATAATACGGCAACGTTTGCCAAGCTATTGCTGACTGATTCTTTCTTTTAATTTCCTGGTACTGCTATATTATTAAATTAAATGAATTAAACATTAAACAAATTATAATAAAAAATTCATTGTGAATGTAACTCCGAAAATTAGTGGGTAACTGATTCATATTTTGATTTGAATTGAGTGTAT